AAAAAAAAAAAAAAAATCAAAAGAGCACCACAGAACCATTTCATAGTTCATTGAGCTTGGGGTGGGAAACAAAGAGAAGATTCCAAATTAAAGAAGTCAGACAACCCCCCAAGTTCATGTCTCCCACAATATCAATATAAAACAGGCCAATATGTTCACATACCTGAACGTAGAGATACTCAAACGCGACCGGATCTCTCCTTAAAAGGTCAATTGGATCCTTTGGGACGAAGCTAATTCGGAAAAGACACCTCATCTTATGGGAGCTGGGCCTCTGTGTCACCTAGAAGGGCAGACCAGTCACACAAGACTCTGTCAGTGCTACCTGAGGAATGGCTGAGGAACAGGGAAGCAAAGTCAACTTTTTTTAGTCACCAAGGCGAGAAGCAGTGGAAGTTCTTCAGCATTTATAATAGATCCTCATTCCCTGAAAATGGCGCATAACCTTGGAACTTAGGTTGGGCTCCCCAGGAGCAGACCTGAGATGAGGGTTTGTGTGCTGGGGACTTATTAAGGAAGCGCTCCCAGGAAAGGCCAGCAAGGGGGTGGGAGAAGCAGGTCAGGGAAGGAGAGGAAGCCAAGCAAGGGTACCATCCCAGGGAAGCCCAGCAGAGGGTAGTCATGGCGTCATCCTGCAGGTGACCTGGGAGTGTCAGTTACACCACGGAGCTGACACCAAGCCAAAGGAGCAATGACAAGTCATCGGTTTGGGGGGGCCCAGGGAACATGAATTTCCCGCTGTGGACATGGCTGGCTCTAGTGGTCTGAGTGTGGTCCTTGGAAGAAGCTCTGCAGACTGGCTACTGCTAGTGACAGCACACCGAATCTAGGCTGGCGAGTACAACAGGGCATCCGAACAGGGAGCAGAGAGGTGTCCACTACCGTTTATTGTTGCATAACACGGCCGTGCCTTTTTTTCGCAAATTAGACTCCAGACTGTAGCAATGAAAGCACAGTGGTGTCAACCTTGGAGGACATCACATCGGAAAACAGGAAGAAGTTTTGGCCCACGTACTACGTCTGGATTCTACAAGTGTCTAAGCTATCCCAGATGTCTCATAGCATGACACTGTTCAAACTGTCCACAGTTGCTTAGAATATACCACGGGTTCTTCAGTGTTGAGGCCCACGGATCATATCGGTTTGTTTTCCTTTCATCCAGCCCAGTATGTATCAATCACTAGATGTTAGTTTCTTAATTCCTTTTGCAACAAAAGGAATCAAAAAGTAATAATAATAGTAGATACTTTATAAACAGCTGAGTGAATGAAAGACCTAGGGGACTCCACTAAAGAAGGCAAAGGTCATTGATTTCTCATAAAGGAGTTAACCAAAAAAAAAAAAAAATACTAAAACCATGTAGCATGTACCAACACAGTTGAGTTTAACTACTTTTATGCAGGGGACAAAGCTGGCGAAATAAAAATAATTGTGAGCTGCCGTTTAAAAATTCAAAATAAAAAATCGTTTTATCGAGTCTCCTGGGGTGTGTGTGCAGGTATTTATAGTTTACACTGCTAACTTTGTTGAGTAGAATACCAAAGGGAAAAGACACCCTAGTTTTAAATATCTGGGCCTGCTGAAAAGCAGTCACGCCAGCTTCCTGGCCGTGGTCATCTCTGCAAGGCAGAGCAGACTTGTAACACTTGGGGCTCTGGGCTGCTTATCACTGACTGATAGGGAAATAAACCAGATAAACCAGGAAAAAGGAAACGGGAAGCTGAGGGCTGCAGTGCTGTGTTTCACAGTGACTCCATGGGCTATTTTGGCAGAATGACTGCTATAATATTAGAAAGGCAGGAATCATGGTATCTCCCACTCCTGTTATTGGTCAAAATCTTTCTTGGATTTTTTATAAGCCCTCTTGGTTCTACTTTTATTTGAATAAGACTCTCTAAAACCAATTTATTTTCTTTCTTTCTTTCTTTTTTCTTTTTAGACAGAATGTCACTTTGTCCCCTTCGGTAGAGTGCTATGGCATCACAGCTCATAGCCACTTCAAACTCTTGAGCTCAAGAGATTCTCTTGCCTCAGCCTCCCAAGTAGCTGGGACTATAGGTGCCTGCCACAATGCCCGGATATTTTTAGAGACGAGGTCTCTTTCTGGCTCAGGCAATCCACCCATCTTGGCCTCCCAGTGCGCTAGGATTATAGGTATGAGCCACCATGCCCAGCCACCAAAACCAATAATTTCTTAAAAACTTTAAGTACAGTGTAAATAGGGATATTTTCTAGACGTACATTCAGTATCAAACTGCCAGAAATTCAGGTAGCGTTGCTTAAAAGTTCCTATGGGGGTTTTCATCAAAATTAAATGTTGTAAAATGATTTTTAGTTATTGGACATATTATAGAGTTCTCATACTTCTTCCCCCTTTCGTCATACCTATAAATATTTTAGTAATTGATTTTTCATAGCTATTGATTTCAAAGGCATATAGCTGGTTTGTTTCAGGATACTTAATAATCTTTTCTAGAGATAATATTTGGGTTTTAGCACTTGACTTTTAGCTCTGATTCTAATAAGAAAAAGAAAAGATAAGGCAAGAATCGCTCTTAGAAGTTTTTGCTTCCTTCACACATTTCATGAGAAATTTAGAAATTAGAACACGTCTAGGTTACCTAGAATCAGAAGAGAATTTTAAAGACTCTTTGTCCAGTTAAATCAGCATAAAGCTTTAGATAAAAGTTTGGAGAGTATAACTGGAAAGATCAAAAGCTGTGTATGGGGGAGGGGTTGTTAGACTCATAGTAACTGGCTGTTGGCCCATATGCCCTTGGCACTGACTGCTACAAGCTAAAGGCTATTTACTGCAAATACCAGTGACCCTCTGACAGCACGAGGCTTAAACCCTGAATAACCAGGGAGCTGCCCATCTACCAATAACAGACAGCGTGTTGGTGGACAGACGTCCCTGCTCCCTCCCCATTAGTTCGACACCTCTGTGACTGTTCTACAATGCCTCCCAGTGCCCTACTGAGCTCCGTTTGCCCACGGTGGAAACTGGCTTGATGACACATTCTTCATTGGCCTCCCAATTTCCCCCTTCTCCCTTCCTCTGCTAGTGTTTCCTGAGATCTCATCCCAAATAAACCACATGCATCTGAATCCTTAAGTTCTGCTTCTGGGGGCAAGTCAGACCCAGACACTGACCTTTCACTTGAGAGATTCTGTATAACAGGGGCTGTTCCCCTGTAATGAAGCATAAAGTCAGTCATCTAGTTCCGAGAGTGTTTTGGCACAGGTTAAAATAAACGATCAGTAGAAATGATTGAAAATATCTGTAGGTAGATGTCAACTTGATAGAAATGATAGGTCAAATTTAGGTAGAGGAATATACACCAACACAGACAGCAACCTGCTAATTAATTAATTACTTCGAGTTAGACTGAATGAAAAGGATCAGAGATCTCTGCGGGACCTGATGTGTGGGACACTAGCTTTTAATTATACAACAACCAAGAATTGCTTTAGTGTGACAACACTTTCTGCCACTCTCTCCAGCTGGCGGTGTCTTGACGTTTCTCCTCCTGGTGTCCCCTCATGCCCCTCTCCCTGAAGTTTTCTCATCCCTGAAGATTCCTCTCCTATGGAAGAGGAATTTGTTGAAATCTCTTAAACATTCAACAAAGACACTGCTTGCGTGGAATCACAGAAAAATTCAGGGTGTTGCTCTGAATTCAGCAGCCGAGCAGCCTGCTTGTCTCCCCCAGGGAACAGATGGGGGTGGCATCTTGGTAACCAAGAGCTGGGATACATTGGTGGATCATATATTTATAGGGAACAGGACTGGGGCAGGGATTTCAGGCTTCCAAAAATAGTCTGAAGTATGAACCCTGAATTTCCAACAACTAAATAGGATTTCAGATTAATTTCAGTCATCTCAGTAACTATTTCTTTTTAATGGTTTCACGAGATCAATGGCCCAGGCAGGAGAACAAGTCATGGCAATTAAAGTATAATTCTACACAGCTCCATTCCCAGTGAGTAGCTGCTGAGTCTGTGAGTGAAAAGTCTGGTGGCGAGACCAATGGACAATCTGTGAAGGACTGGCAGAAAGGGAAACATCACTTGAGGTGTCAGATCCGTTCTGAAGGCCAGCAGTCCCTTTTGCGAGAAAACTCTGGGATACAATCGATACATTTAAAGTATTAGAGGGAGGGAGAAGTCTGGAACTGGGCAACCTCTACTCTTACCAGCAGCCCCCACGCTGGAGGGCGAAATTTCACAGACCTGAGTTAGAGTCTCCTGTTCATGAAGCAAGAGCAGCTTCGTTCCAGCCCCTTCCGTCCTCTGCTCCAGCATGAGGGAGAAGTGTTCGATGCCTTTGATGGAGAGCTTCTCTTGAAGGGTTAAGATGACATCCTTACAGAGGGAACAGTGACATGATGAGATCAAAACTGAGGCTACCCTCTTGTGGAGACTACCATGGCCAGAAAAATATTAACATGTAGGCTTCCGATCTGGAACTTTTGTAGCTTCACTTGATTCTAAAATGTAATGCTCCATAGGTCCAAAAAGATACAGAAATAAAGCCTTCCTCCTTTTGCCCTCCTCCTGGCTTTTTCAACCACCCTAAAGTTTTATGGAGTTCAAAATAGAGAGTTAACTTGGTAAGTAGCTGGAGCAGGAGCTTATCATGTAAGTTCTTAGAAAAGAAAGGTTATCAATAGATTATATAATGTACTTAGTTCAATTCTCCTTTCTTCTCAATGGACTGTCACTTAAACCAGCTCTGAAAGTGGTCTACTCCAAGGGGTGGCAAGATATGGCTGGCATGCCGCATCTAGTTTCACCTTCTGTTTTTGAAAATAAAGTTTTACAGTTGTTTTTTTTTTTTTTTTGAGACAGAGCCTCAAGCTGTCCCCCTGGGTAGAGTGCTGTGGCATTACAGCTCACAGCAACCTCCAACTCCTGGGCTCAAGCGAGTCTCCTGCCTCCGCCTCTCAAGTAGCTGGGACCACAGGCGCCCGCCACAACGCCCGGCTATTTTTTGGTTGCAGCTGTCATTGTTGTTTGGCGGGTCCGGGCTGGGGATTCAAACCCGCCACCTTAGGTGTACGTGGCTGGCACCTTAGCCGGTTGAGCTATAGGTGCTGAGCCAAGTTTTACAGTTTTAAAGTTATGGTCATGGCTCTTTATCTAAAGTCTACAGCTGCTTGTGTGCTGCAGAGTTGAGTGGTTAACAACAGAGGCTACATGGCTTATAAAGCCTAGAATATTTGCTCTCTGCCTTTTAGAAAAAGTGTTTGCTGAGCCCCGTTCTACCGTTCTGAAAGAGTAGTGTGGGAGCGGTGAGGAATGGGGGCTCCAAAAGCCGTCTGGCTTCTAATTCCAACCCCACTGCTTATTAGCTGTGCAGCTTTGGGCAAATCTTTAAATCTCTAAGTATCTTAATTTCTCTCTGTGTAAACTTGGGATAATAATGCATGTCTTGGAATGGATATAAGGATTAAATGAGTTCATACAGAGAAAACATTTATTACAACCCAGAGTGGTGCTGGCACAGAATGAGAGCACTGTAACAATATACATATATTAGCTTTCATTTCACATCTTTGGGGAAGGTGGACAGAGCACGCTTTGTCAGCAATCTCTTACAGGACTAAGCATCTATGATCAGAAAAGTATTCCATAGACAAACACACAGATTTACTGCAAAAGGCAAAACTAATTCTTCAACCTTTTCCTTTCTCCATGTACTTGAAAACTAGTAAATGATACCTCTTTGAGATAATTTCCACTCAGATGCTAAAAATCCGGTAGAGCAGTGGTTCTTAACCTGGGGAAATTTTCCCCCATGGCAACATTTGGAAATTTCTGGAGGCGTTTTTGGTTGTTGCAGTAGAGTTGGGAATGCTACTGGCCTGAAGTGTATAGTAGGGATACTTCTAAACATCTTGCGATGCACAGAATAGCCCCACGGCAAAGAATTATCTGGTCTCCAAATCTCAAAAATGCCAAGAAAGAGCAACCCTGCCACACACAGTTTTCTTTCACCGACTTTTCTGATGTTGTGGTCCTTCTCTGCGGTCCTTTGTCAGTTTCTTCGGGCCCCACTAAATCAAAGATCCCCATATCTACCAGCTCCCTCCCCAGATCATTCAATAGAAGTGCCGTGACTAGGTTGAATTTCAGAAAAAGATTCTCTGCTTTATCATTTTCACTCAAGGCTCAGGAAAGAGGCAACAAAACAAGCCTTTGTATGGCAACATGGACTTTATAGACTATTTTCCCTAACCTCCTGGGAGGACCCTGGAAAATCAATAGCAATAGTTTTCTCTATTGTAACTCTGGAGCAAGAATTTTGGCCATTTTCATCAAACAGTGTGTTATTTCTTTCATAACTATACTATTTCTATTTTACACCTACCAGCCAGTGTCTATTGTAATAATGAGCCTGTTAGGTACAAGATAAGATAACTTGGATTTGATGTGAACTCCTTCCATTGTTCCCTGTCTTCCCATTGTCACCTGAAATCCTCAGGGAAATCAAACTTAGTTTCATGAAGATTCCTATAGAAAAGAGGCCAGAGGGAATTAACAGAGATTTCTTCAATTTATTAAGAAACAGATTCAAGCCTTTACCTATATCTTTCAGTAGGGTATGTTGTCGAGTGACAAGGAGTTGACCAGTTGGTAACACAGAACAAGGCCACAATGTCAAAGTTGTACTAATGTAGCTCTCTGGGTTAGCTCTGACTATGACCTGTAGGTCAAACCTGCCCTGCCCATTTGTTTACATTTTGTCTATGCAGTAACGGATTAACCTTGCCTACAGAAAGATTGGGCCCTTTGCTTCCTCTCTTGGGATGTAACCTCTAAGCCAGAGATTTTCTTTTTCTTTTTTTTTTTTTTTTTTGAGACAGAGCCTCAAGCTGTCCCCCTGGGCAGAGTGCCGTGGCATTACAGCTCACAGCAACCTCCAGCTCCTGGGCTCAAGCGAGTCTCCTGCCTCCGCCTCCCAAGTAGCTGGGACCACAGGCGCCCGCCACAACGCCCGGCTATTTTTTGGTTGCAGCCATCATTGTTGTTTGGCGGGTCCGGGCTGGGGATTCGAACCCGCCACCTTAGGTGTACGTGGCTGGCGCCTTAGCCGGTTGAGCTATAGGCGTCGAGCCTAAGCCAGAGATTTTCAACCAGTGCGCTGCTTCACGCTGGTGTGCCATGAGAAGATCTTAGGTGTGCTGCAAAATTTTTAAAGATCAGTAATTATTTATTTATTATAGGGACAGAGTCTCTCTTTATCGCCCTCAGTAGAGTGTTGTGGCATCACACAGCTCACAGCAACCTCCAACTCCTGGGCTTAGGTGATTCTCTTGCCTCAGCCTCCCAAGTAGCTAGGACCACAGGTGCCCACCACAACGCCCCACTATTTTTTTTGGTTGCAGTTGGGCCTGGGCTGGGTTTGAACCTGTTACCCTTGGTATATGGGGCTGGCGTCCTACCCAATGAACCACAGGTGCCGCCACGTCATTAATTATTTTTGAAAGAAGTTCAGAGCACAGTATATATTTTTAACTCTTTCTTTGATCAACATAATTTAGGTGTGCCGAGGAAGTTTAACTGTAGGTTCAAGTGTGCTGTGAGATAAAAAAATGGTTGAAAAACACTTCTCTAAGGCCTTGGAATATCACTTCTGAGAGGAGTGGTTTTGTTTACTTGGGGACCTTGGGCCACGCCAGATAGTCTATGCTAACAATTAATTTATGATGGGAACCTTGGGCCATATGGTTCAGCTCAAACTCTGGTGGGGTTGGAGACTTAAGGGCAGCCATGCAGGTGGTCACTGGTGTTGATAGGGCAACCCCCCAATAAAAACTCTGGACACCAAGACTCAGGTGAACCTTCCTGGCGGGCAGTGCTGTGTGTATAAGGTTGCACATCATTTCTGGGAGAATTAAGCAGTGTCTGCACAAATCCACTGAGAGGAGGACACCGGGAAGCTCTCCTGTGACCCCACCTGTGTCCTGCCTGCGTACCTTCTTCCCCTGCTGTTTCCATTCTGTACCCTTTGGCTATAATACACTGCAACTAGAACAGATTGCTGACTTCTGTGAATTCTTCAAGTGAATTCCTGAACCTGAAAGTTGTCTTAAGGACTTTCCCAACCCGTTCATCTATAGCTGCTTTTGTGATACAATGTCAGAGTGGAGCAGTTGTAATAGGTCAAATTGCCCACAAAGCCTAAATATTTACGATTCCACTCATTCCAGAAAAAGTTGGCTTACCTCTGGGTTAGATGGTCAATAATTACACTAACATCTTACCAGAAATTGATATTCAATAGGAAAAAAGGGAAAAGGCCTTTTCCGGTCATCACCACTTAAAATTCACAGTCTTCTATCAAGAAAGTTAATATTTCATCTAGAATGATTTAAGAAGGATTTAATGCCCCAGCATTAATCTACTAAAAAGAATACTGTCTGCTCTTTGACCTACTAAATCACCACATACTTGCAGCAGTTCAAAACAAGCTGCTTGCTGGTATCATGACAGTAGGAATACAGGGTGAGCAGGCCTTTGCAGAAACACTTCCACATGTGAGGCCTATGCTGATTAACTTAAAAAGTAAGAATTAGGGCTGTCTACTGATAGACATTTTTAACACAGTTGATATTCTTTTGATAGATTATTGTACAGATCATGACTAGGTACTTTTTTTTTTAACCTCCATAAAATCCTTTTTATTGTGCCATTTGAAGAAAGCCTATTTTAGGCTGATGAAGCATTAGGGAGCAATCAATTTCTGAACACACTTTTGTCCAATATAAAGAGACTCTGTACTTTTCTTTTCCAGGAAGGAAGCATGGGAGGGGACCATATGCCTTACTATAATACCTATTATGTAAAACTCACCTGTGGCTCTGAAAGAATTGAATTGCTTGGTGAGTCTTCCTTTCCACCCTTCCTAAGAAGCATACTTCATTTCTGCCTTCTGATACATTTTTTCTATGAAATTGGTTGCAGCAATTCAAAGTAAACATTACCTTTACATTATTCTACCCTCTGTTTTTCCTGGACACCAAAGTAGCAGATATTCAATTAAAAGCTAACATCTTAATCTTCTGGGCGCCTGACATTGCTGAGAAATCATGCTGGCTTTGGGCAGGGTGCCAAGCGTTGGTGACAGTCACACCATTTTAATTAATCTGCAGTTGCATTAAAATGACTAGCTCTAGTGTTTCTTCCTTGATAGCATTTTGCAACTCTAAGGGGGAAGTAACCAGCAGATATTTTTTAGTTTAAGTTTTTTGGTTTTGGTTTGTTTTTGAGTATTCACACACTACCTTTGATGGAAGCAATCAATAAAACTCTAGAAATAAAGGGCTAGTTCTAAAAGGAGGTGCTGCTACAAAATGGCTCAAAGTGTGTCTTGCTATATGTGGCAGTGTCCAGGGACAGAGTGTAGTAGGTCATCCTACCTTTATGGAGGTGCTGCAGTCAAAGCGAAATGATTTGGTCTGTCCATTTTCCAGATACACTTTCAAAACATTTGGCATAAACAGAAGTGAGTTGTCCTTAACAGTTTCCTGTTTAACAACAAAAACGATGTGGGGGTCTAAGTCAGTTAAGTTAGAATTCTTCTCTTTGAAGTAGAAGTACATGTCTATAGTTTATTCTAATCACAACTTAAAAACAACTGAACTCTCTAAAGACAACCAAGGTGTTCCTTTGGTGATATCTGAGTTAAGTTGCTCAGGGGAAAATTCTTTTACTTAAATGAGTCTTTTGTAGCTGGAGAAGGCATTTTCTCATCAAAAAATCAGATGCCCTTTTATTTATATATTAAAAAAACCCCTCAAGATTCCTCATCCAAAACATGATTATAGGAATTATTCCTTTGTAATTAAGCTTCAGTGTTTGGAATCTAAAAGCCCAGAGTTTAGCAAAGCAGGACATCATGAGCAGAACCAAGAGCAACAGTGATGCTGTTTGATGCAATGCTGTTGGTACTTGGCACCGGTCATGACTGTGAGCCACCAGCATCATTAAGCTTCAGGTGCAAAGTTATGCTGGGAACTTCTTTGTTAGCCCACTTGGAAATGGTCTTCGAACTCAAAGGGACAATATGAAGAATGGCTTAGTGTGTTAAAAGCATAAAAACATTAAGTATATAGTGATCAAATTGTAACTTTGAAATAACTCAAAAGATGCAAGCTTGAAGCATGACCGAAAGTAAACACTATTCCTTTGAATTTTTTCTTTATTTGGAGGTAGTGAGTAATGAGAGAAGGGAAAGGGGGAGGAAGAGGGCATGTCTGAATGAATTTCATGAGTCCTGGTAGTGAACTGAGTTATCCACATGTAGTTGGTCATAAAGGTTTAGGAGTTGAGTACAACTCCGCAATCAGGAAAGCAGACATCTCTTGTTTTACAGATGACAGACCCAAAGGTGAAATGTTCTGGAATTTGCCAGTGTCATTCAGTTAGTCTGAGAGAATTCAATCCCTAAGTATTTCCATAATGGACTCCCTGCCCATCACTTCCTCTTTCTTTCCTGAATTTCCTGCCCCACCTTTCTGCATGGACTTCTCACATAGCTTTCCCATCACCTTATTCATTGAATAAGTCTAGATATAAGTCCAGAAGGAATGGTGCCAGTAAATGAAGACCATCACAAAAGCTGAAAGGCACATACACTACTGAATGTCCCTTCCACCCACAGGCCTGTGGTGAGGCAGAGAGGCTGTAGGAGATGCCCAGCCCTCAGAGTAGTCCTCACACATTATCCGCCTCGCAGGAGCCCTGTGACAAACTGACCCTCGCAGGAGCCCAGGGACAAACTGACCCTCCTATAGCAGCTTGTAGAATCATATTTTCTCTAAAAATGCACAAACTGCCTGACTGTCCAATCTCACACTTAGAAGCTCCAGGCAGAAAGGGTAAGTTTCAGATGACTTTCTGTGACATGTTGATTCCTCTGTGCCGGGAACTGTCTACTTTTCAACTGGGACAGTCTTGTGCTAATCAATAATGCACAGCAACCCTGTATTCAGCATGATGAGCACCCACTGAGGTGAGAACACACCATGTTCACAGGCCAGCATTGTGACAGCCACAGGCCCTTTCCTATGGGCAACACAATAGTTAGATCAGCCATCCAACTACCTGGACCCCATGTGGGCCAGCCCTAGGGAAGTAGATTTTGATTAGACAATACTTGGGCTATGAGAGCCTGACCCAGGATGTATAGGCCTACATCTTCAAATTTAGGTCCAGGAACAACCTAGAGAAGAGTTTGTGACCAACAATGAACACACAGTGGATGAGATTTTACCCTTGTCAAGTTATTTAAACAATATCACGAACAACACCAAACCTTAAAGATAAACTGTGGTATTCCAAAGGTCCAAACAGATTTAGAGCCCTGGATGATAGCTTTCTAAAAGCAAAAAATGCTCCACTAGACTTCTTTTTTTTAAAAGTTGAAAATAAAACATCCTTTTGATGTTTTGCATTATTCATGTTGAAGATCAATTAAATGCCTGAGCAATCATGATTTCTGTCAAGACCTATCTATGGAGATCCGGGTGTTATTTCTTCAGTCCTAGTTACACTCACAAAACCTTTCCATCATTTGAATTTTCTGCCATTTCGATTAGCTGAAAGATTGTTTTTTGCATAAGGAAAAACTCAAGGGAAACAGTAAGTTTCTCAAAATACATAAAGGGCTATTTTATAGAAGAATGCTTCGTTGGCAGAATGGAAAGGACTAGGTGAAAGGTTCAAAGATACCTATTTCACTCAGTATGAATGAGATAATGTCAGTGATCCCAAAGCAAATGAACTATTTTGCAAAGCAGTGAGGTCTCTAATCCTGGAAGCATTCTGGGAAATACTGGGCTGTAACACATTCTGGCCACATTAGAGAGTATTTCACCTCAATCTAATGATCTCTCAAGCTCTTTACAGTCCTGACATTCCATACTTTCATAAACACCAACAACCAACTCTGGATTGGTCATTCCAGTGGGACTTTGTCACAAAACAGGTGGTTGAAAACTCACCGACACTTGGCCATTGATGATGACTTCCTCAGAGAAGCGTACTTTGACTGGATTGGACTTTAATCTTGCCTTTTTTGCAGCACTAATAAATGCTGATTTGGGAGACTAGAAGAAAAGAAAATATTTTATCTGATTACTGGCAACATAATTCAAACCTTATAACAGTTGTTTTCCATCTTTATCCTCCCAGATATGTAATACTTTTGCTAAAAAAAAAAAGGCTTAGTGCAAGCCTAATTCAAGGATGGAATGCAAATTATGGACATAGTCAAAACCCTGTTACGACCATAAATTAATGAGTTTGATTTAGTCACCAGACCAGAACTACCAATAGCATGCTCTATGTTCTTACTGAGCAAATGCATTTCCAGGGATTTTTTAAAAGGCTGGCCATCAAAGCATGTAAACCCTGGTGTTAATACAGAGCTTTGAGCACAGTGTGGAAGATGAAGTGGTGGTCAAATCAAATGTCAGGTTGATTGAGTTCATCATCAATTATCTACTTTAATGAGGTAGAGAAAAGCCATTGACAGTTCTAAAATGATCAATAATTCCATTGCTATTTACATTAAAGGCATGTGGGCATGTAAATAGGCAAGTACGTATGCACACACACTACTCTCCTATGTGCTCATACTTTATGTTCCTACAAGTTGAGTTTCAGCTTCTTGTTGGGAACCTGTGATCTTAGTGGGCAGGGTCGAGATGAGACCTTGGCTTAAGATGAAATTTTGACTTTATCATCTGCCTCATCTTATAGGTTCTTTATACTGTAGGATCCTCTCCTTTCTTTTATCAGAAAGGGAGCCATGTGATACAGTTCTGCAAAAATTGGAAGTGCAATGGAGAACCTGTTTAGGAAGTACTGGGGCATAAAACTGTATAAAACTGTATATATTCTCTACCTGCAATTCTGAACTCCCAGCACTCCCCTCCACTCTCACCCCGAGGTCTGGAAGCCTGTCCCCCATGGAGTCCAGATTCTTGGGCATTTTCTTGAGAGGTGTGGACAGGGCGTGGGCTGTTGCAGGTCTGTGCTGATTCTGCGGCACAGGGGTAAGGAGAAAACGGTGGACTGAAGGAACTGTACAGAAAGGGAGAGATGGTATCCCCCAGCACAGGGAAGCAGCAGGAACAGTAGGGCTCACACCCCTGGGGATATTTTGGACACTCCCTGTCTCTCTGGGCAACCAGAGAAAGCTGGGCATCCTTGCTGGTGGCAGACACTGGTGGAATATATCTGGAACAGTAACACAGACCCTGTGAGCAAAGGGTATGCCTGAGGCAGTACCGGCCTGGGCAGAGCACGGCAGGATGGAGAATTGAAGATGCCTGCACAAAGATGGCATACTCCCAGGGTGGGGCTGTGCCAGGACTGCTTAGTGATCCTAAGAAACACCCAGCCTTCAGGAGATCATAGCTGAGACAAAGGCAGGCAGAAAACTGAAAGTTGAGTGTAGGCTCTAACCAAACCCGCCCCAACACAGACTGTAGGGGAAACAGAAACACCAGCTCTGGGCAGTGGTACAGATCAGGGCTGAGTTGCAGTTTCTGTGAACTGAAACAGTGCCTAGTCCACAGAGGAATATAGCAAGGACAGAATCACATATTCTGTGCAAATATAAGTCAGCAACATTAATCAGGGGTGGGGCTGGAACTGAGTGAACCACCCCAGCTTCCATTAAGCACCCGAGGTCATCAGGCCTCAGCTTCCCCTGCCAGATGGTGGCAGAGTGCAGAGGCCTGGCCGAGGAGACATAAGATCTCTCTGTGACTCAGGCAGGCTCAACCCCCCGGAGCATCTGCTCATTGGAGGGAACTGGGTCACAGGCCTCTGGGGTTACCAGTGACTGGGTGTGACAGAGGTGCAAGGTGGGGAAGGAGGTATCAACCTTCCCACACTAATTCATTTGCTGGGGGGGGGGTTCCTTCTGACCCCACAGAGGCCCAGAATGGGGCTTAGAAGTGATCAAGGAATATAGCAGCATCTCACTGTATTAATCAATACTCATAAATCTGTAGCCTTCATATATACCAACAATAGTCAAGCTGAAAAAACAGTCAAGGACTCTGTTCCGTTCACCGTAGGGCCAAAGAAGATGAAATATTTGGGAGTTTACCTAACAAAGGACGTGAAAGATCTCTATAAAGAGAACTTTGAAACTCTAAGAAAAGAAATAGCTGAGGATGTCAACAAATTGAAAAACATACCATGCTCATGGTATGGGGGAGAAGAATCAACATTGTTAAAATGTCCATATTACCCAAAGCAATATACAATTTTAATGCAATCCCTATTAAAACTCCACTGTCATACTTCAAAGATCTCAAAAAAATAATACTTTATGGGAGGGGGATTGGAGGGATCACTTCTGAGGTTTATCTTACAAGGGTACAAGTGAATCTAAGAGTAGAATGTGAACATTTTAAAACAATAACTAAGAAAATGACATGAAGGCTATGTTAACTAGTTTGATGGAAGTGTTTTGGATTGTGTGTGAAAACCCCACACTGTACCCCAGAAGTGCATTAATGTACATAGTTACCATTCAATAAAAAAAGTTATAATACTTTGTTTTATATGGAATCAGAAAAAACCTCGAGTAGCAAAGACATTACTCAGAAATAAAAACAAAGCAGGAGGAATTACACTATCAGACCTCAGACTATACTATAAAATGACAGTGATCAAAACAGCATGGTACTGGCACAAAAACAGAGAGGTAGATATATGGAACAGAATAGAGAGCCAAAAGATGAACCCAGCTACTTACTGTTATTTGATCTTTGACAAGCCAATTAAAAACACTGAGTGGGGAAAAGATTCCCTATTTAACAAATGGTGCTGGGTGGACTGGCTGGCGACCTGTAGAAGACTGAAACTGGACCCACACCTTTCACCATTAACTACAATAGACTCTCACTGGATTAAAGATTTAAACTTAAAACAAGAAACTATAAAAATACCAGAATAAAGTTCAAGGAAAACTCTTGAAGAAATCAGCCTGGGTGAATATTTTATGAGGAAGACCCCCCAGGCAATTGAAGCAACATCAAAAATACATTACTGTGATCTGATCAAACTAAAAAGCTTCTGCACAGCCAAGAACACAGTAAGTAAAGCAAGCAGACAGCCCTCAGAAGGGAGAAGATATTTGCAGGTTATGTCTCTGACAAAGGTTTAATAACCAGAATCCATAGAGAACTTAAATGTATTAGTAAGAAGAGAACAAGGGATCCCATCTCAGGATGGGCGAGGGACTTGAAGAGAAACTTCTCTGAAGAAGACAGGCGCATGGCCTACAGACATGAAAAAATGCTCACCATCCTTAATCATCAGAGAAATGCAAATCAAAACCACTTTGAGATGTCTAACTCCAGTAAGATTAGCCCACATCACAAAATCCCCAAACCAGAGATGTTGGCGTGGATGTGGAGAAAAGGGAACACTTCTACATTGCTAGTGAGAATGCAAACTAATATGTTCCTTTTGGAAAGATGTTTGGAGAACATGTAGAGAACTAAAAATAGACCTGACATTTGATCCTACAATTCCTCTACGAGGCATATATCCAGAAGACCAAAAATCACACATGTACCAGAATGTTTATTGCAGCCCAATTCATAATTACTAAGACATAGAAGAAGCCCAAGTGTCCATCAACCCATGAATGGATCAATAAATTGTGGTATATGTACACAATGGAATATTATACAGCCTTAAAGATGGAGACTTTACCTTTTACATGTTTACATGGATGGAGTTGGAACATAGTCTTTTTAGCAAAGTATCTCAAGAATGGAAGAAAAAGTATCCAATGTACTTAGTCTTACGATGAAAGCAATTTATAGCTTTCCTATGAAAGCTAGAACCCAATTATAGCCCAAGAAGAAGGGGAAATGGGAGAGGGAGAGTAATCGGTGGGACCACACCTATAGTACATCTTACAAGGGTACATGTGAAATTTACTAGGTGTAGAATATAAATGTCTTAAGACAGTAACTAAGAAAATGTCAACTACGTTGACCAGTTTGATGAAAGCATTTCAAATTGTATGTAAAACCAGCACATTGTACCTCATGATTGCATTAATGTACACAGCTGATTTAATAAAAAAAAATAAGAAGGTACTGGGATCCAGAGGCATCCTTTGCTACATGATCTTGGTAAAGTTACTTCATCTGACAATTATCCTTGTTGCATAATTTTAATGAAACATAAGGCTAAGGGAACTCACATCTAGTAGATGTCCACTATGACCCAAGCATCATTTATTTATTTTATTGTGCCTCAACTTATCTTTTTTTTTATTAAATCATACCTGTGTACATTAATGCAAGCATAGGATACAATGTGCTGGTTTTATATACAATTTGAAATATTTTCATCAAACTGGTTAACATAGCCTTCATGGCATTTTCTGAGTTATTGTGTTAAGGCATTTATAGTCTACCCTTAGTAAATTTTACACGTACCCTTGTAAGATGCAGGGTAGGTGTGCATTTGTTTCTTTTTAAAAAGAGTTACATTCACTATTGGGCCCAATGTAGAAGTAAATATTAGTTTCAGTCATACAGTTGCTATTGTATGGACTAAAATAGCCACACATTGTCAATTGCCTATGGTTGAAACCAATGTTTTCCACGGTATATAGTCCTAAGACATTGAGGCTGTTGCATAATTGATTCTACAATCAAGACAGAGGCCTAGCCTTCTATGTATTGTATTAATCTCAAGGCACAAAAGTCAAGTAGGGTGGCCCATACTTCGATTTTCCTTCTTTTTTTTTTTTTGAGACAGAGTTTTATTCTGTCCCCCTGGGTAGAGTGCCATGGCATTATAGCTCACAGCGACCTCAAATTCTTGAGCTCCAGAGCTTCTCTTGCCTCAGCCTCCCAAGTATCTGGGACGATAGGTACCTGCCACAACACTTGGCTAGTTTCTCTATTTTTAGTAGAGATGGGGTCTCACTCTTGCTTAGGTTGGTCTTGAACTCCTGAGCCCAGGCAATCCACCCACCTTGGCCTCCCAGAGTGCTCGAATTACAGGCATGAGCCACTGTGCCTGGCCCCTACTTTGGTTGTCAAATAAAATGAACAAAGTT